GTTTCCTTCTGAATGACATATTCACTTGTACCTTGTTTCATCTCACTTCTTTAGCTCTTGAACTTTTAATTCATTTTTTGTTCCCTCAAAATAAACCCTGACTACTTCAGTAAACTTGTTGACTTGAATCTCATCTACAATGAGAGATTTTTCCCGAAGTGCCTGCTTTTTTATATGTTAGGCAACACTGGCCAAATTAAAAGCCCTGAAAGACACTGCAGTAATAAAAGCTGGAGGCTATCTGGGATACTGGAAAATATACCAGGGAAGGAAATCACATTATTGCTAGTGTTAAACAACTCAAGCCCTAAAAAACATAAATCTGTTTTACAAAACATTCTTTTAAAATATTTTCTCTCTGAATTCATCAGCTAGGTTCAGGTTCTTTTTTTTTTTTTTTTTTCAAGATTTCTAGATCTGAGAAATATTACAGATTAAAACGTGCAAAAGAAAACTGAGGCTAACATTATTACGAGTACTAAGTTGATCCCACTTTCACTTCTCAGAACAAAATGGAAATGAGATGTTAAAAGTGGACAAAAACCTCTCTAACTGTGAATTTAGAGTTAGACTCTCTTCCCTGCGACAGAAGGAGTATCTGTATATATACAGACATATATACTGAGAACCACAGAGAACTATATTCATTGTAATCCTTTCGTCTTTTACAGCCTTGGGACTCACCTCTTTCAGAGACTCTACTGCTTCAGCCTGGATTGCATGACTGAGTTGAGGCAAGAGACCAAAGCCTACACTTCCAGTCAGGCTTGGAGGAGAACAAGTCACAGGGAACAGTCACCTTCTGGTTTCCTTGTCATGTCCCCTCAAGAATGCATATTCTTCATACCAGAATCCCAAATCACTGCATTGCCTAAAATCTAAGGTTATCCTTACTCAAAATGTCAGAAATAAAACCAGTATTCATATTAGCAATACAGATATACACATAGCTCACCATCTTCCCAATTCCATGGCCTACCTTCCCCCAAAGTCTCAGGTAAACCCCCCAAATTATTCTCTCCACAGCAAACCTTCCTTGTAGTTCATTTCCCAAGATGAATGCAGCCATTAAATGAATGCTGGGAACCATGTTGCCATTCTCCATTACATAACACAGACCGCACAGTGACTGGATGATGACCTTGGCAGGAGATCGGACGTTTGTATCTTATGGCACTGGTTTCATTTGCACACAGCAGCCTCTAGATGCAGGCCATGTTAACGTAGCCAATGAAAAGAAAACATGCAAAAGTACAGGCAGGACGTTCCCCCCTATGACTGCACCATGTTCTGTGCCTAACTGAAAACCTTTTGTCCTGGAAACTCTAGAAACATCTTCCCCGACAGATTTGACTTCTCCACCAGAAGGTGCAAACAGGTAGAGGGCGCTCTGAAGACCCCTGAGGCAAACGTGGAATAATTTAGCCCTAAATGCACAGCCTGCAAGCAAAGACCGTGTTAGATTTTTTCAAGGGTTAACCTCTCATAAACCTCTTATATAAAGTAATACATATACATGATTCTTGTCACGCTCTTACTCTCTGCCGCGTTGAAACCGCCTAAAGGCAAAAGTCCCAGGCCAATTTTAATTCTCTTGCCCTTATATTTCAGTTACACAAATAATGCAGTAGAGCTGCTGTAGGTCCATTTACACTTCCTCCATTGTTTTGAAGGGATTTTGACACACCTCGAATCACGCACTCCAACAGTTTCTCATGTTCAGATTCAGGAGATGCATTCATAGAGGAATTTTAACTTTGGATTTTCGGATTTTTCTGAATATTTTTGACTATTTTGTACATCTGAGGGTTTATTTGTTCTGGGTTTTGTTTTTGGAACAAAGGAGAGTAGCAGGAAAAAAGTTCTGAATTACTGCATTTATTGTACCTCCTGCTTTGGAAATTTCCATGTCACATTCTAATTAAGGTTTAAAATCATTAAGAATTGTTTACGATAAGGTCTCTATAAGCAGAAACCCTATTCGGACTTAACAATGTACTGGCGGATGCAGAACACATATGTCTGTATGTATCTATCTATTACATTAAACATAACCAGAATCATTCCCTGGCTTTGAAGCCAACTGGAAGAGTTTGGCCACAGTCCTTCCCTTTAAATCTCTTACCCTCCAACACAGCGTGGCCATCTCCAAACTGCCTAAGGGCAACAGTCCCAGGCTGACTGATGCTAATTCCCTAAACTTCGCCCAGCAGTTGCGTGGCATGGGCCAAAACTTTTTCAGAGACTAGGAATTTAACAGTACAGAAACATCTCTGAAGTCCAGATATGTTCCCTGGCACTGCTAAATTATCTGTGGGAATAGTCTCCTGGGAATTATTCTCCCTAGGAATAGATTCCCTGGGGTCAATCAGGCCAGGCCAAGAATCTTGGAAGATCTGGGCTGTTTGGAGAAAGGAAAAAACAGAAAGTCAGCAGAGGATTTATTTTGCTTCTCTGGGGCTTTGTGTTAATTCTTTCTTTGGTACTGAGACCAACAAACCAGTTTCCCCTGGACTACTCCCTTTTTCTGGTCCCTTGTCCGCCCCACATCCTTCTTTCCCCTCTCTTAGCATAGACTCATTCACACCATCCCTGACTTTTCAACTGTCTCTTACACAGCTGAGCACAACTGATTTCTGGTAGCTTTTTCTTCCTTGGCTTCTATGATTCCTCCTTTTCCTTATTTCACCTTTTGCAACCTAAAAGTTCCTTAAGAGGATCTTTGGATGAGTATCTTCCTCCTCCTCTTTGGGTGTATTTGTGTTTTCGCCCTTTTCTGCTCTACATCCCCTTATCTCTGGATAATCTTTCCTACAAATATAGCTACTAACCCTGTGCTGAGGCCCAAGAGGTCTATCTCAAACTTTCTGTCTAAACTAAAATCCTGGTGCCTCATTCACATCTCATGTATGACACATCAACTCAAGCTTAGCATGGCCAAAATAAACTTTCACTCTCTACCTAATAACGTCTCTTTCTCAACTACTACTGATTATTCCACCACTCAGCGCTTTCTCTAGATTCTCACATACATACAAGTGCTAACCATTTTTCTCCTTGAATAATGTGTCTAATACACAACCTTCCGTCTTCATCCACAGAATTAAAACTCTCAGCAAGGCTCTAACAATTACGTTTCAATTACTGATTAAAACTTTGTCTTTTCCAGATCTTGATAGCGCAAACTAGACCCTCATCCATTCAGAGAGCTTCAGCAAATATAACACCTAAGTCTACTGCTTCAGGTATATCACATCTTGAATTAATTCCTCAGGGACTCCTTTCCTTTTCATTAGCAAGCAAAACAGCTGTCTTCACTTCTAAAACAGAACCCTGTCTATGACTTACCACTTGGGAGTGAAGAGTCAGCTCTTCTCTGAGCAGCTCATCATTTCAGATCCTGTGATCTACTTACTAGATTTTCAGACAAACACCTTTGGGTCTTCTCTGCCCTTTGGAAGAGTTCTGTCTCCTTTAAAACAGTTCTTAAAACTGTCCTTTACTGATTCAGTAACAGTGAGGTCTGAGCAACAGAAGCCTACTATTTATTATGCTGATCAATTATTATCAGCATTATTAATAATCATGTTATGTCACCATTTCCCTTTTCTTCTCTATCCTTTTGCTTTATCTTTCCTTAGCTTTCTTATCAGCATCAGAGACATGCGTTTTAATAGCTCCTAGCATAGTGGGGCTCTACTCCACATCTAAGTTTGGTAAGTAAGTTCCTATATCATCCTAATAATTAGCATGTATGTTACTAGCTTTGCATTTAAGTTAAGAAATTCATCTTGGACTCCGCTATTCATACTAAAGTGTGTGCTGTGTGAAATATCGTAACATCGTGATAAAGCAGAACCCATGAAAAGCAGTAACCTTACAAATATTGTAATATTAGCTTTATTTCATGACCTAAGGCTTGACTACGACAAGTATTGAGCACCCAGAACTTTTTTTTTATAAATAGCAAAAGCAGATGTTCACAAGTTCTAAAAACTGTGCTCTTCACATTTTGATGTCCTCAGGACTTCACACGTCTTACCAAATAAACTGTAATAGAAAATGACTGATTGTAATTGACTTGATAAATTCAATCTCAGTTTGATGAGCAATCTGCCCCCTGGAGTAGTTATGCGCAGTCTACTGCAAAAATAATTAGATGTTTTTGTATAAAAACATTTACTTAACTTAGAAGTACCTACCTAATTTGATGTTGTATAATTATGTCTTAGTACCCAGCTTTAACTTGCACATTAGTACAAAATTACAACGCACAGAACATCTTAGTAAACATGATCAGGCAGAGATTTACAGTTATAAAAAGTTTTTAAATCAAGGTTCTTCCCCCCACAACCCATAACGCCAGTCTTTTCCAGAAGGAAAGAGAGTAGGAGAGGAGATTTCAGAGGCTCTTCGCGTCTGCTCTTTCAACACAAAAATCCAGTCAGTGCATGTCACTGCAGTAAAGACTGACAGCCACTGGTGGTTTTCACAGCCAAACTATGCAAGTGCAACTTTCTTAAAACAAAAAGTACAAATCAACTAATAGCTGAGTTCAGATGGAGCTCTTCCTATTAGCGACAAAAAGAAGCCAAGTTTCTTTCTCACGTTTGTATGCTGCTTGTCATAGGTAGTACATATGCATCCAGTAGAGTGTCAGAGACGTACATTACAGTGCCTGAAATAACCCACTGAAAATTGGTGACAGCTCCATCCCGCCTGAAATCCTGAACTTGCGGGGAACTACAGAAAACGCTTCCTCTCTCTCAAGAGAGCCCAAAGTGGGTAAAACCAGCCGAGACAGCTCGGCT